TCCTTCACTTGTTTTTGTCTATTACCACCTAATCTTGCTTGGAATCCATCTTTATTGACTTGCATATGAATGATTCCCTCATCATTTTTGGGACCATGACTGTCCATGTCCTGTCCTCCTCTATTACCGCCTAATCTTGCACGAATACCATTTCCGGTAACTTGCATATGAAAAATACCATCATCACCTTTGGMTTCCTTTTTGTCCTGTTGTTGATGAGGRTCTTCGCTGCTTCCCACTCTTGCTTGAATTCCMTTATTATTGAGCTGAAAATGGAGAGTTCCACTGTTGCCGACAAATTCTTGATGGTCCATCTGTTTGCTATCTCTGCCATGTCCACCAAATCGTGCCTTTATACCGTCGTTATTAACACTTATTTCCAAAGAGGGCTTGTCRGAAGCTTTAGAGGATYTCGTGTCGGACCCCTGGTCACTATCGATAGTCAGATGAACTAATGGTCTGGACGACAGCGTTGAAATTTTTTTCCTTGATTCTTCCGGCGTAATTTTCCGATCTTTCTTTGCATCTTCTGAAAAAGATTCAATATCAAGGTGAGGCCTATCTTCGGACTTGTTCAATTGCCTTTGCTCTTTGGTRAGGTAAATAAGCGGCTGGTCTGCTTTTCCGGTAATATTTGTTTCTACGTGTAAATTGGGATTTAAGTCCTGTTGATGTTCATCCTTTTTTTCATCTTTCCCACCCATTTTTTCTTTTGACGATCCTAACTGCTTATTTTTATAGTGTACACTGATTGGCGATTCCCCCACTGTTGGTCCATCTGTGTGACCCTTTTGAGTGTCATCGTTCGTAACCATATCACCATATTTTTCTTCTTTATATTTCTTTTGTGGTGGATCTTCACGAGATCTTGATCCACAATCGACCCTTCCTTCCAAATCACAGTTCATCCCTTTGGAATTGAAAAGCTGYCCTTTTGRGCAAAATTGTCTGTTGACCTTTTTATTGTTACAGATTATGAAAGCTCGYCAGTAATCTGGGTCTACGTATACACCACTTGGACGGTCTTTACAAAAATCGTTATTTTCTAAAAATAGATAAATATCAAAAAATGAGTTTCTTTTATTGAAACACAAATAAAAAAGCAAATACAGAAACATTGATGACAGTAGAATTTTAAACTTCGTGAGGACAATTTATGATACCTGTGCCTGGAGTTGGTGGACGAGGTGGTTGGGGGTTCGGGGGAGGAGCAGGAGCTGGAGCAGGAGCTGGAGCTGGAGCTGGAGCACCACTTGTTCCAGGCTGTCCTCCTGTGGATGTCCCTGGAGAGCCAGGCTCTAAAAAAAAACAAACAAACAAAAAAAAAAACACACAAAAAAAAAACAAGCAAGACAACATTAAAAAATCATAACATATCAACTGAAGCAGATCTTGGCCTCAAAATGTGGTGTACGTGTCCACCGTACGTATCTTGACTACTTKAAAGGATGAGCTATTATATAGCGCCAATCAAGCTATAGACCATACCTAATCCACTCTTTGGATAAGGTGGCTTGTTTCCTTGTCCCATACACAGAATATTTGATGGTCCACCTGAAAAAGTAAAAAGAACGAGTCATAATATTTTTATGATTATATACTAGTCACAGAATAATTATTAGTTGATGTTCAACTTATCATACTTCCTGTGGCATGACCGGTAAATTGWATATCTGAGGTAGTATCTTCATCGTTCTTCATAACTGGAATGATTGTTTCTCGCTGTTCTCCGTTGACCGCTGTAAGTCTAACTTGCATAGGAAAGTCCACCTGGCCAAGRCCATCTCCTACAAAGTAGTTATCCGTTGCACGACGCAGACAATAATATCTTTCATTCTTAAGAACCTCAATGCCAGCCACAGGGATCCTGAGATGACAAAAMTGACATAAAATTACGTTCAGAAGAGACTGAAATCGAGGCAAAGCCAATAAAAGCTGAGCAAAGCCGAGCAGAGCCAGCAGAGCCGTTGTAGGTAAACCATAGCAAAGAAGAAAGAACAAAGAAGGGAAGAAAATACATCACAGAGGAGCAAAGGAAAACAGAAACAAGCACTAGAAAGAAGTACGATCATCGTGTACCTTGCATTCCTGGCCTGTAGTTTAATGTACCATGGATTACTTCCTGTAAACCTCAACATGATYTTACCATCACTTCCTGGTAATTTTGGACAGTCGATGGCTTTTATATTGACATCCCATTTACCATCACCGACAATGAAAAGGTCTACACCAACTGTCAATAAAAAAACATTTATCGGTTATTTAGCATTTGTTAAATATCATTCTAGCACTATTGGCCAATCAGATTCGTCCATTTTTATCTGGGTTACTGAATTGCTTTTACTGTATTTTGAATAGAGCGTCTGCAACAGAGGCTGTCAACAGCTAAGTAGTCTCATTTGAAGTGAATTTCATAATATAGGATCACTGTCACTCTCCTTAAATGACTGCGGAGGAGACTGCAACTACAGCAATAATTGACAATCACCTTGATTYCATCCGCAGCGATCATGTACTACTCCTTTCAGAGGTTCGCTGATCGGATCATCCCCTTTGCCGACACCTGTGCCTGTTATTTCCAGACACATGCCACATCCTAGACTGTTCTGAAAGAACTTATCCGCTGCTGCAACTCTTATCCAACCAGGCTGATTGGCCAGCGGRGACAGAGGGTCTAGAGCACATGCACCACCTCCTGGGTAATTTCCATAGTATGTTGCCTATTGGACGGGAGAGTAAGTGAATACAAAAATGAATGGATGGGAATATAATTTAAATGGATGGGAATTTGAATGGATGAATGAATAAGCCAGGTCTAAAAAAAGGATACTTAGTAAAGCATGCACATATGATTATTCTGAAATGGTAATAAAAATAAACTGGTTYATTTACCTCACCAGGCGACGCCTGTTTGTATCGACTATAGATGTTCTCTACATGAGTTCGACCAGTATCGCGCTTAAARCTACCAGTTACACCACCCTAAAAACAACACAGGTCACTGCAATTTTACTGCCAGTCATAGCACTTATATTTAGAGTCTAAAATATCGTAGAATGAGTACTTTACCTCAACTGATGAAAACCTGTATAGAATTATGATCGCTGTTAGAACGTCAATYTACATCGTTGTAATCWGGTGGAGCCTTTTAAGATAAAAAGAAAAGTGTAATTAGATGACAAACGCTACTCGTATCAGCGAGAAACGATGCAAATTGCATGCTTTTCTAGCCAAATTRTCGCTACGTGTCGATAACTTACTAAGTTCAGATGGTCRACATCAAAACAATATGACAAGACGGACAGCCACGTCTCTGAAAAGTCCCACTTTTTAACTTCAATACAAGTTTTGGATTGGTTCAGTCTCTTCCAGGAATAACCGTAGGAATTRAGCTAACTGGTATTGTTGTTAATGTTTCAGTGCATATATTGACTTCAAGATGAAAGGTCACAAGTCAAATTTAACTGCACGGATTTAAGAGTTTTGGAGATCGCCACCTGCTCAACAGTCAAATCTAATCAAATATTTCCTGTTTTCATAGGAGTGTCTGAAATTCAATACCATTAGATGGATATGTAATGTGGAAATATGTTGGTTTTAATTTCATTTTTTACTTGGAATAAAAGAAATAGAACGAACGAACTCCTTGCTGAGAGAGCAAAATTTATGTTATTGTAAATTTTAACGTTGTTTTTGCTCCAAACAATTAATAACTAAGCATGAACAATATAAACCACTTTTAATCGTTGGTAATTGTTATAAATGTGATTTAAAATATGAAAAAAAAAAATAATCCATAAAAACCAATAACTTTTACAAACCACAAGTACTTTATCCAAAAATACTATTTTACATAAATATGTGACATTATATTCTTGTGACAGTATTGATATTTCGCGGGCAGTTTGAAATATTTTATGAATGAGTTTTGACCAATCATAATCGTAGATCTTTCTAAGAAAATATATCTCTGCCCTCTGTTTATCGCTTTTGATACATATTTCTTGCGGTTTATTATAAATTGACTAGGCGATTATAAAATATTTTCTTCTTCTATAAAATCTATAAAAACCTCTTTTATAAAAATCTGGTAATAAAACTTGTATCTATGCACTAACAATAACGGAAGAATGGCATAAATATCATTAAATATTTTCAAATGATAATTACCGATATAAAAAATATATAAAATGTAAATGTATATTTTCCTCTTTGAAGTGCTGAAATATATTCCAGTTGCTTATAACTGACTTATACATTGAGTAAAAATGACAATTTTGCTCTAGTATAAACTCATTCTTGAAGTTTTTCATCACATTCAGCTTTAGCGTCTGTAGTAGTTGTTGACTGCTCGGACTTGACTCTCTCTTGCTCTTCCTTCATCTTATTCACTTCATCGATCATAAATTGTAAAGGATCGTCTGGACGCTCAAAAACTACCCTCGATAGAAGTACCTAAAATAGTTTATTATAGTATTAGCGAAGATTATTCCCGAGCATTTTCGTGACTCAAAGTGAAAATACACGGTTTCGTCATGTAGATTGTGAGAAAAATATAATCCAATATTGAAATCATTGAAGGCCAAAGAGGCAGACCTAGTTAAAAAGACGGCCAAGCCCTGCTGACACATGAGACAAGGAAAGAGGAGGACGCAGTGAATATATGATGGAAGACAGAAGAAGAGAGAAAAGAGAAGTGGAGGGAATAGGAGAGGAAAAGAGGAGGGGGAAAAAGCACTTTTAGTGACAACCATTTGTTAAGCGATTTGAACTCCAAAACTTTTCGTTCTTTCAAATGTAAAAACAGAAAATAAATAATAATTCTGAAAATAAACTACGAACCTCCAGTAAATGTAAAGCATGTGTTTCCTCGATGTACTTCCAGGCTTTCACGTGAGGGTCTTTCACGTTTTTCACATTTACTTTTGAAAAATACAACTGCAATTCACTTTTCAACGTGTCTATCATAATTTTACCAATTTCCTCCGACTCCTCAAGACTACACRGCTTGTCTGTAGCACTAGTTGAATCTTTTTCACCTTCAGGTTGGTCAGAAACCTCCTTTGAACTTTCACCTTTCTCTGACTTCTCTTCGTCCGCCATATTGTTTACTTTCTAGTACCCAGAGCTCCTCGATTCTATCTCGTGCATGCGCATATGCGAAATCATGCTGGTCAGGAACGCCTGGCGAATATTGACTTCTGTGTTTCCAGGTTTTTCACATGCAATGAAGAAGAAATGTTAAAATTCTTCTTTCTTGTAAACAAACAAGGTCAGACAAGGCTTTCACAGTATTATGAATATACAGAGCTAGAGGAAAGAGTAGCTTTGGAGGCAGAAATCATTCGGAAATGCTTGGCAAGAAGCGAAAACCAAGTGAGTTTATATTCGAAGATTTATTATAATAGCTTCCTTACTTTCCTAAAACTTGATTATGTCTTTTATATTTACTAGTGTTCATTCATGGAATACAAAAACTTTAAGGTTGTCTACAGACGATATGCTGCGTTATATTTTATTGTAGGAATTGATTCGAACGAGGTAAACTTTGAACGTATGCACTTTTATATCATCTCGGAAACCTAAGAGATATTTAGAGGGACCGAGGTTCTCGAGTATGACTTTATATGATAAAAAATTGTTTTTATTTCACAGAATGAGCTTGGTGTCCTGGAGTTTGTTCATAATTTTGTCGAAATTCTTGACAAATACTTTGATAGTGTAGTGAGTAAATTGTTTTCAAACTTTGAATGAATTGAGTTCTTTAATTCAAAGCATATGTGTGAAAATGTACTTATTTTAATGAATTTTATTTTTATTTTTTTTAGTGTGAACTTGATGTATCCTTTTAAATGACTTTTTCAATCTGAATCTACAAATATTTATTACATATTCATTATATTTCTACTGCTTTCCTTCCCAAAATAAGTGATGAAAGCTAAAGCTTTTAAGATCTTCCAGTTTCTCTATCAGGTTAGACTAACCTTAAACATTACATAAATTCCTTAATTCAGTTCAAGATTATGTTTAACTTGGACAAAGTTCACATGATTTTAGAAGAGATGATRATGAATGGACATATTGTAGAAGGAAACAAAACCCGTGTCCTGGCTCCACTTCTTGAACTAGAAAAAGTACCAAAATAATGACAAGTATGTGTCTTGCGAAAACAAGCATTTACGAGAGCCTCCAATGGAGAGGGGAAAGGATCCAGGCGCATAAAAAAGGAAGAGAATGGACTGGGTTAAAATCTGGGTCACAGCATCACAGTTTCATGTTTGAGATGTCTCCTTGTTTTTGTCAAAGATCATTTTCATTATATTACGTTACAAATACACGTAAATTATTGTCATTGATGCAAAAGGATATTAAAGCAAATACATTTTAGTATCTCTCAACTGTTTCTTATCTATTTTTTATTCCTTAATTCTGTAAATTTCTTCCTTTCTTTTATTCGTTCATTTATTTATTCGTCCTTTTTCATATTTTTAAAAGCTCATCTCAACACATATTAACTCAAAAGTTCGACAAAAGTTCGACAAAAGTTAGGGAAAGCCACATCGATATTAAGGATAGATTAACCAATAGCAAAATTGTACAATAATTCTCCATTTCCCAGAAAAATCTGAGAAGATCTGTACTTATGCGATCGCCATTGACTATATCAATCCGGAAACTGATTTATGACCTCGAACATACACATTGGATTAAACTTAAATTCTTCTCGTACTTTTACGAGTCTAAACGGCTAACATTACACTGAAAGTACCTTTGCGGAGGTGTTGATGGAGGTTTAACATGAGCTTATGCAGCCGAGATGCGGTCGATAAATCATCGGCTATAGTGGGTTAGTAATTTAGTAAGATTCCATAGGAATGTCGCCATGCATCAACTATGAGAGTTTCTGAGACCAATACACAGTCTCGATCATATCTGTGAATGTATTGACGCATGAAGATTAGGTATACGTATCGATAGAAATTTTCCATTGTACAAGTGTCTCGTAAAATATGTAAAGATGAATTGGAGAAAACAATGAAGACTACCATTGTCGACTCGTTCTTTCGTTTTGTTTCCTATTGTCTTGCTTCTACACGATCCGAAAATTGAGCTTTGTCAGGAAATTGAAAATGTAGGATATTGTGAATCGAAGGGGACGTGCGAAATCCATATTTCTTTTAACCAATGGGAAAGGAAAAAGAAGAGACGAAACGAAATAAAAAGTGAGTTGATGCAATAAAAGAGAAGACATTGAATTCGCAAATTTATTTTAATGGTTATAAGGGTCACAGTAGTTCAATCAAATATGGGTGCACTACCAGGTGAGTTATGATAAAAACAAACAATTTAAAGAGCAATACTTTTCGAATACATATCGATGAAAAAAGCCGGATCAATATCAACATTTGATTCTATGTATTCTTTTCAATTCTATCTATTTTATTTTTATTTTGTTCTTAAAATAACAAACTAGGAATAACATACATTCTTCAAATATACAGTAGGTTTATATTAGCAATTTCACTTGGGAGTTTTTCGCGAAATTTATTTTGTCAAGCTTAGTTTTCTRRTTTTACAGACTAGTGTCAGCTTTTGAGGTCCATAGGTCCACAAGGGAAGAGCTGGACTTGTTCCAGGTTGTCCTCATCTGGATGCCCCTGGAGAACCAGGCTCTTTAAAAKAAGTAATCAACAAAACATTACAAAATCACATATCAGCTGAAACAACTCTTGGCCTTAAAATGTGGTATACGTGTCCTCTACTTCAAGGAATAAACTATTATATAGCATCAATCGAGGTATGTACCTTACCTAATCCATTCTTTGGATACGGAGGCTTGTTTCCTTGTCCCATACACAAAATGTTTGATGGTCCACCTTTCAAAGCAAAATGACTTATTTCTTAAATATTCTTATAATTATATACTATTCACAAATAAGATTATCTTYATTATCTTAATTAACTTATCTTACTTCCTGTGGCATGACCGGTAAATTGTATATCTGAGGTAGTATCTTCATCGTTCTTCAGAACTGGAATGGTTGTTTTTCGTTGTTCTCCGTTGACAGCTGTAAGCCTAACTTGCATAGGAAAGTTCACCTTTCCAAGTCGGCGATCTCCTACAAAGTAATTATCACTTGTACGACGCAGYCAATAATATTTGTCATTCTTAAGAACCTCAATYCCAGCCACAGGGATCCTGAGATGACAAAAMTGACATAAAATTACGTTAAGAAGAGACTGGAAATGAAGCAAAGCCAAGCAAAGCTGAGCAAAGTCGAGCAGAACCAGCAGAGCCGTCGTAGGTAAACCAAAGCAAAGACGAAAAAACAAAGAAGGGAAGAAAAGAGAAGCCTAGTTGGCAGCTAATCAGAAACGAGCAAAGGAAGTCTCATCACGTACCTTGCATTCCTGGCCTGTAGTTTAATGTACCATGGATTACTTCCTGTAAACCTCAACATGATGTTGCCATCACTTCCTGGTAATTTTGGACAGTCGATGGCTTTTATTTTGACATTCCATTTACCATCACCGACRATGAAAAGGTCTAAACCAACTGCCAATAAAAAAAAAACATTTATCGGGTATTAGTAGCTGTTACTGTATTTTCCTTAGACCGTCTGTAACGGAGACTAATAACCAGCAGGTAAGTTGTCTCATTCTAAGTGAATTTCATATTATCGGCTGCGGAGGAGACTGCAACTACAGCAATAACCGACAATCACCTTTATCGCATCCGCAGCGATCATGTACTACTCCTTTCAGATTATCAATCCCTTTGCCGGGACCTTTGCCTGTTATTTCCAAACACATGCCACATCCTAGACTGTTCTGAAAGAACTTATCAGCTGCTGCAACTCTTATCCAACCAGGCTGATTGGCCAGCGGTGACAGAGGGTCTAGAGAACATGCGCCACCTCCTGGATACTTTCCGTAGTATGTTGCCTATTGGACGGGAGAAGGATAAATAAATAAATATAAAAATAAACGAATGGGAATATGAATGAATAAATGAATAAACCGGGTCTAAAAAAGCATACATTTTGGTCATTTTGTTGCAAAATGAGGAAAATAATAACACTTACAATGCTGAATTTATAACTCGCCGCTTTCGCGCGAGTAATTATTTAGAAATAGTAATAATAATAAACTGTTTTACTTACATCACCATGAGACGCCTTTTTGTAACGGCTATAGATGTTCTCTACTTGAGTTCGACCAATGTTGCGCTTAAACCTGCCAGTTACATCACCCTAAAAACAACACAGGTTAATTAAATTTTARTGCAAGAGAAACACTCGCTACGCTCGTGATTCTAAGCTTGCTTCTCTCGTGTTTTTCAAGTACCACTGTGTTTATATCGCAGAGGACAGCACGCGCGTCGTTCTATATTTCTTAAAGTGCAACTGAACCCTTTTAGAAAATCATTTTAACAAAAGGCAAATATAATGCTAAGCATTGTTTTGAAGAAAAAAAAGTTACAGTGTCTAGAATTGATCGTGAAAAAACTACTTTACCTCAACTGATGAAAAACTGTATAGAACTATGATCGCTGTTAGAACGTCAATGTACATCGTTGTAATCCGGTGGAGCCTTTTAAGATAAAAAGAAAAGTGTAATTAGATGACAAACGCTACTCGTATCAGTGAGAAACGATGCAAATTACATGCTTTTCTAGCCAAATTCTCGCTACGTGTCGATAACTTACTAAGTTCAGATGGTCCACATCAAAARWARATGACAAGACGGACAGCCACGTCTCTGAAAAGTCCCACTTTTTTTAACTTCAATKCAATTTCTGGAGATCGCCACCTGCTTAACATAGTCACATATCAAAGTCATTGCTTACAAAAGCTTGTATGATCAAGTTCAGGTGATCACGCCCCCCACAATGCCCGACTATCGTACCCTATTTGAACCAGTTTTCCTCATTTATTCAGAAACAGTTCTAAAATGTCGATTATTACCACGACGGATTTATAAAAAGTAATTTTTAAGCTTTAGGACAATCATTTATATGCGCGTTTTTTTTAAACATCGATAATGAGGATAGATTAACCAATTGCAAAATGTACAATATTTCTCCATTTTCCAGAAAAAATCTGAGAAGATCTGTACTTATGAGATCGATATCGACTATAAGGTAGAGCAAATGCAGGAAAACCATGAAATAAAATCAAACTAAATACTAACAYWTWGCSYCTARTTAGAGACAAWTTGTCAGTATCAATGAACCAGAACACAATGAAYATGAATCCACATGGGACCATTTTTAATTCATCTTTATTGTGTTCTGGTTCATTGATACTGACAATTTGTCTCTAAGTAGTCGCTAATTGTTAGTATTTAGTTTGACTTTATTTCATGGTTTTCCTGCGTTTGATCTAATCGGGAAACTGATCTGTGACCTCGTATATTCACAATAGCAGAACTTTAATGGCCAACTTCTCGAACTTTTACAAGTCTACCCGCATTTCAAATTGCATTGAAAGTTGTTCCAGCAATGCACAGGATCCTTTTYAAAAACTTTTTAAGGTGTAAAATACTTTCGATTATCCATATGCAGCAGAGATGCGGTCGATGAATCATCGAATGTATTAATTTAATAAGATTTCATAGGATATCGCCATGCAATACACAGGTTCAATCATATCCGTGAATGTATTGACGCATAAAGATAAGCTATAAGTATCGATAGAAATTTTCCATTGTACAAGTGTCTTGTAAAATCTTTTTAAAAAGATGAKTTAGAGAAAACAATGAAGACACCATTGTCGACTCGGTCTTTAGTTTTATTTTCTATTGTTTTGCTTCTACACGATCCGAAAATTGAACTTTGTCAGGAAATTGAAATTTAGG